AGGATTTAGAGATACCTAACTTATCACTTTGCATGTAATACACTAGAAAAGGATTGCTGTTACTAGGATTGCTGCGTTATGAGATTGTGGGGAACACGTATACCCTAGTTATTTCTCTTATCTTGATAACAACCAAAGTTGAGTTTGATTATTGATTACTTATTAAGTTCTTGCTATTTGTTTTACACAAACACAACCCCCCTTTTATTATCTGTTTCTGGAAATAACTTGACTAATTGAATATAATTGTTAGTTAAAGTAAAGTCTAAACCATTTTCCTTGTGGGATCGATCCCAACCTACAAGTTGGGTTCTTTACTTGATAACGATCGCTTATACTTCTGTAAGGAGGTGTAATTTGAGCGTATCAATTCTCTCCATGAACTTTCGACACATAATAATTATCTATAAATCCCTTCTTCAAAATACGAAATTCAACTTTATCTGGTTTCATGATACATTTGCATTTGGCACAAGGACACGTAATTGTGCTTTTTATAAGAAAATCAATTCTAGTTTTTGCCTTTGCAATAAATTCTTTAACCCAATTTATAAATTCCACCCTCAATCCTACACGATTAGGATGAGTTCTATCATACATCCATTTACGATGTGCAAATTCCATCTACATAAATAAAATAATTAAAAATTTAACTAAACAAACTAGCAACAGTCCAATTAAGAACACATCTATAAATGAAATCTTAAAAATGGAGATTTTTCAACTACATAATATAACAAATTGTTCATATTTGGAATAAACTTGTTTAAGCAAATAAGAAAACACCACATATTATAGTACTTTTCAAGACATAATCTTGATAGTTAAGTACAGAGAGACTACAAGACAACAAAATATATACTCTGGATAAGCATAATCAGTACTTCATAAATTGAAAATAGAAAAGCTTAAAGTTTCAACTCACCGGTTATGAAAAGAGAGATATAATCAAGAGTATAGAGGAGACGCCTTCAAAGTGGTCAAGAAAATTAAGTAACAATCCAATTCTGTAGAGAAAATTAAGCACACATTAAATCTAATTTGTTGATAGAAGAAAAAACAAATAGAAGGAGAAAAAGGAAAAAGTGGAAAAAGGAAATGGAACTTGCTAAAGTTCAATCTAGTTATGTATTGGTTTGATTAGGCAAGGCATGATTAAGCAATTTCATGAACATTTAGTTTCCAGAAACTACTTCTAGAAGTTGATGAATTCTATTTTCAAAGCTCGACCCATTTACCGAAACAGATATGTTATAGTCAAAAAAGTAAATATGAAATAAATATATAAACTTTAGCAATTCTATGTATATATATAGTACATACGTCCTAACTACGGAGTGGTAGAGATGATCCATACAAACAAATTAACCCACACTTTCACTATCTCTTGCTTCTGGTCTGCCATAATTTGTCACCATTATATCCTCTTGCTAATCCGCTGCTAGCTGCTCTCCTCCCTATTACTCACTCTCTCATATATAAACCTCGCATCACTTTAATTCTCCCACCTAAACCCCACTTAACTCCCCCTCACTCCCAATATTAGAATATCATAGTAGCTACTTAAATCCTCTTTAAGTATAAACTTTCTTCTAATAATGGTTTTTACAAATGGGATCTCTACTACCTCTATCCTTCTTTTTTCCTCTAAACAGGTACAATCATTCTCATCTTCTTTGTTGAGATCTGTATACTTGCAATATTTTTCTTATTTGTTGGGATCTGCTTAAAGTTGTGATCATTAACATTTTTTTGGTCTATTGAGGTGTTAAGGCAAGTGGGGTTGAAAGGAAGAAGGGTAAATCTGTTGTAGGGCAAGAAATTCAACAATAAGGCTTCAAATAGCCAATTAGTAGCAAGGGAGAATCCTAATGATATTGCATTTGACCAGAAATCAAAAGTTGCTCTACATAGTATAGTTAATAAAGTAAAAATGAAATGAAGTTGTACACTTTAAAAACTGTGTATACATATAGTACGTGCAACCTAACTAAGGATTGATGGAGCTGATACATACAATTAATTTAACTCATACTCTCTATCTCTCGCTTCTATTGTGCCAAAATTTGTCACCATTATATTCCTCTGTTAACTGCTCTCCGTTCCACTATTCACTCTCTCCTATCGAACACTCTCATCACAACCTATATACATACATTCTCTACTTCTAGAGTGTTCTCTTACTTCTATTGTTCTTGCAAGTTTTGCACTTCTCAAATCCAAACCAATGTTAAAAAACAAACGAGCAAAGACATAAAGACACTATTAAAGTTGTCATGTATTTTCATAAAGACACCTTAACTTTCAAAGTGTCCTATCACCCCACAGAACTATTTAATATCGTTGTAAATGGGCCATTTTGACCCATTTCCTCGTCTCGGTTGTTGCCACGCACATGAGGCGCGTCATTCAATGTTTTCACTGCCATGGACCAGTTTAAAAGTGCCACGTGTCATTTTCTTTCTTTATTATTATTATTTAATCAATTTATGTCATCTTCTCCAATTTTAAACCCAAAATAGCCGTTGATAGCCCTAATTTTTCGATTTCATGGTTTTCTCCATAGCAAGATCAACGTTGGTTCTCTCTGTTTGACGACTTCATCATCTTCCCCAAGAAAATAAGGTAGGAATTCATTTTATCTTTTAATTTCCAGTATAAAATGTTAATTTGAAGTTTTTTATGGTTTAATTTCTTCTGAATTTTGTGATTAGGTTTTGATTGAAAATGTCAAATGCAATGTTGAATCGTATTTGTAATGATGAGAATGATCTGATGTTGCGAGTGAAATTGTGATGCAAACATGGTGACTTACTATCAATGCAAACTTCATGGTCGGAGCATAATCCAGCTCGAAGATTTTGGTCTTGTCCACGCTATCATGTATGTTTCCTAATTCTTTTATGGAGATCTTTTGTTTATGTATTTTTCTTTAATTTGTTTTTTGCGTATTTTAGGAGGATGCGTGCAACTTCTTTCGATGGAGGGATAGTGAAGATGTTGATATACGATCCAAATACGTAATTCCGAGATTAGCAAAGAGAATTAAGGAGTTGAAAGAAGTATTGGCATCTTATGAAAGTCATGTTGAAAGTAACCAAGTCGTGATGAAGGAGAAAAAGAAGAGCAAATGTTGTAACTTGAAGCTAATTGTCTTGATCATTATTGTGTGTTTTCTATTTTTAAGTCTAACCAAGAATGTGAAGGATGGAAGTTGTAGGTGTGTGCAACCAAAATTTCCATAGACATCTTTAGTTACTTCAAGTTTTTGAAGTCGTAGGTGTGTGTAACTAGAAGCTAATTGTATTGATCTTGCTAGTTGTAGGTGTGTGTAACTTGAAGGATGGAAGTTGTTGAATGCTCAAGTTATTGTTGGTCTTTGTTGTTGAAATAGTTATGATTTGAACAAGTTGTTAATGTATTTGGTTCTCTTGTCTATATTATTGTGGCAACCATATGAGAAACTTCAAAAATATGTTCAACTACAAATAAAAAAGCAGCAACAAAACTGATCAACAAGAGGACTTCATTGCAGCATAATCATTCAAGTTTTGCTTGGTTACACACAAAGTTGAGTTTGATTCCAACCAAAAACAGCACCAAAATATACATAATTAAATTTTGTTTGTCAAAATGAACAAGACAACATCAAAATGCCCTACTTCCATGGCACAGAAGTCTTCCTACTTGAAGTTGTTTGGCTTTGGCTGTTAGCAGTAGCAGCAGCTGCAGACCTAGTTTGGATAACCTTTTTAGCCCGCATTCTTTCTAGGTTGCTACTAGTAATAGTTGTCTTCCCCTTCCATTTTGAATCCACGTACTGGTGTGTAGCCAATATCACCACTAACAACATCAGCCCTCTTTGTCACTGTAGTACTAGTATTGATGACTCTTCTACTTGGCAATCCAGGCTGCTTAGTCAAATAAATACACATTCAAATATAAGACATTTTAGGCTTGCATTGACAATTGTAAACTTACATTGAGAGTTGTAAATCCATCTTCAGCTTGGTATATGCCAACACCTACCATTCTTGGCCTTTTAAAAGGTCTTGTTTGTCCTCCACTGGTGTCCTCATATTCTACTGGTCTCTTCCCTCTTTCTAGGCCTCTTCCACTGTAGGTTACTTCAGAACTAGTTTGACTATGTTGAGCCATTTCTCTTCCTCTACCCAGTCCTTCATTCATATTTCTTTCTTGAGGCACTCCTCTTCCTCTACCTATTCCTGCTCCTCTACCTATACCTCTACCTCTACCTATACCTCTCCCTCTACCATTTACAGTCTGTACTTTGAAACCAAAATATTAAAGCATATCTATTTTGTCTAAAACTAATATAATAATTAGATATATTACCTCTGTGTTTGAAGCAATTCCATGTGATTGAGTTGGAACACCTATAAAACTTGAAACTCTTCCTTTGCATCTTCCTCTACCACTTTCATTATTTGTGGTGGCCTGTGAAGAATCTTTATGTGGTTGAGTTGAACTACTAGCCCTTGCTCTGCCTCCTGCTCTTCATGTGCCTCTTCCTCTACCACTTTCATTATTTGTGGTGGCCTGTGAAGAATCTTTATGTGGTTGAGTTGAACTACTAGCCCTTGCTCTGCCTCCTGCTCTTCATGTGCCTCTTCCTCTACCACTTTTAGTAGTCTGTATGTTAATATGTAAATGCATGTACATATAACTTACATTTGAAAGTAACAAATAAAAGTACCTCTGTCTGAAAAGATGGTTCAGCTGACTGACTTGGACCAGTACCTCTTGCCTGAGAAGATGGTTCAGTTGATTGACTTGGACCAGCTTGATTTCTTGTAGGACATCCTCTTTTATTGTGTCCTTGTATACCACATTTGCTACAAGTCATAACAACAACTCTTTTGCTAAGCTTTCCAGTTTTTCTACTTTCATCTACTTCCTTTCTTCTAACCTTACCTGGTCTTCCAGGCAACTTCTTGATCTTTGGTGGTTTTACAATTGGATTATTTGATGTTGGCCACATTTTCATGTTATTCATTGGCTGAATAAAATGGGCATATGTGTTGAGGTAGGTTTCATTGCTATAACAACTAGCCACATAATGAATTGGTTCCAACTCCTTGTAATGAAGGGCAGCAACACCATGAGGACAAGGAATGCCCCTGAGCTGCCAGGATCTGCAACTACAACTCCTACTAACAATGTCCACAGTATGTGTAAATCCATGGTGTTTAATCTCAAAACCTCTTTCTCCATTCCAAGTCAAGTTACATTGCATAGACTTTTCAATATTTTCTTGCAAAATCTTTAAAGACATAGGAGATATATCAGTGATCAAAGTGTTTGAGAACTCTCTCAAATCACCAATTCTTTTCATCATCTTCACCCTTATCTCCTCAAGCATTGTGATGATCCTCAGGCCGTATCCAAGTATTAAAGCTTTCTGCCATATTGTTGTCCACAACATCACATTTGCTAGTCTTGAAAATACTTCTTGCACCATGTATTCAAGTTGTACCATAAAAGATCATCCAAACATTCTTGTCCTAATTTCTTCATTGCCTGTATATTATCCTTCATCTCAGCTTCAAATGTGGATTTTGCAATCCTTCAAAACATTCTTCTTCTTTCAACTCCTTTCCAGTTTTTACACAAATTTGCAAGAACACGTCTTGCACATTTTCTATGTTCAACCAGTGGCAATACATTTTATACAGCAATTTCTAGTCCCTAACAAACCAACATAACAAAAAAAGAATAATTAAAATGCAAAACTCAACAACAATACAACAGTAAGATCAATAAGATAATTACCTTTTGCATATCAGTAATGATGGATAGTTGACGCCCTTCTCCAAGGTCAAGATCATTCTTCACTAGTTTAAGAAACCATGTCCAGGTAAACTGATTCTCAACCTCAACATCTGCCCAAGCAATAGGCAGCATTTGGTTGTTTCCATCTCTACAAACTGCCACTAACAACAGGCCTTTACACACACCTTTGAGAAAACGCCAATCAAAACCAATCAACCTCCTAACACCTCCAAAAAATGCTTTATTTAAAGTATTGAAACAAACATAAAATCCTTCAAAAAAAATTTGCCCAGTTTCATCTTCTTCTCCAACCTTCACTACACAACTACTACCTGAATTACTCTTTAAAATTTCATCTTTATAATAAAAAATCTTACCATACTCCACAATGTGATCACCCATGCTCTCTTGTAACAATCTAGTCCTAGCTCTTCTCACTGTTGTCCTACCAACATTAATATCTAACTCCTTTCTAATAATGTCATGCAACAACACAATGCTGATGTATGGCTGTTGAGTTATTCTTTCTTTGTATTTGGTGGCCAAAAACTTTTGAGTTGCAAAGATAGTTATGAGTTGATGTCAAACATTTATGGACAGGGTTGTATGTTTTAACAATGAAATCTCCACTAGTTCTATCCTTACTTGCACACAACAACCAAGGAGAAGTCTCTTTACAACATCTCACTCTAACTCTGCCAGGCTCATTCACATATTTTTCAATTTGAATATGTTCTTGGACTGCATATCTTGTCACTGTCACTCTAAATTCTTCAATAGTTCCAAAAACCAGTCCTAATTCCCAACCAATCTTTTCAGAAGTTGCATCAAACACAACTCTATTTGGGATTTTCCTCCTCCTAACAGGTTTATGCATACTTGATCAACCTCATCACCATCTCCCCAACCTATTTCATCATCTATTTCAAAGCTAGGAGATTTCATCACTTAGATAGTAAGGCTCATCACCTCCTAGCTTACCAACTAAGCTTTCCCTAATACCAATATTTGCCTCATCATACCCTATATCTGGACCTTTTTCATCAACATTAATCTGATCTAAAGTAGTACCTCTACTTCTCCTTTGTGACCTTTTGAAATGCCTCTTGGTTGTCCTTATATCTAAATACTCTTGATGGACATCACTGTTAACCTCAGTATCTTCATTAGTATCCCCTTCAGATCCTGGTTCATCTTTTACTTCATCATCAGTTGGATCATTATCTATTATAGGATCGAAGGAAGGAGGAGGCACAGTAGAGGAGAGGGTGGAGGCATAGTGGAAGAAGGAGGCACAGTAGAAGGAGATAATGGAGGCACAGTAGTAGACTAGTCTTTAAATGGACTGCTGGAAGTTTCAGAAGGACCAGTTGTAAGGATGAAAGGAAAAATAGAAGTAGGAGGCTGATTATTAGGGTTAGAAGCCTCATTAAAAGATTTCCTCACCTACCCCACTATCACTCACATTGGGGACAAACTCCAATTCAAGTGGAGCCTCATTAGCTTCACTAACCCCATGAAAAACATACACCTCCACTGTATCCCCATCATTTATCATATTGAAAAGGTCAAATATAACCTTATCATTATCAACAAGGACCAATAACCCATCCCACTTAATGAAAAAATCATAATCTACTGTATATCGTAGTTCCTTTATGTAGTCCCTCAACTCAAAATAAGACATCCTATCAACATCTACATCTAGGAATTCTGTCACATGCCCCCTAATATATTTAGGTGGGGGACCAAATTCTATAACCCCCCCCCCCTCCCATGATACCATCTTAGAGTTATCAGAGTAAAAGTCATCCTGAAAAAGCATGTAACAAAGACAAACAGAATTCAAACACACATATCAAGAACAAACTCTAACAAGCTGTACATAGCAAACATAATCACTAACAAACAACAGTAGCAGTAGCACTAACATTTAGCCCCATCACTAAATGAACAAAAGATTGTTTACAAATGTATAATGTACAAATTGACGTCTACAAATGTATAAGCCCCAGCACTAACATTTATCCCTAACAGTGACAAAGAATGCATAAGAGACTAACAATACTAACATTTAGCCCCATCACTAACAAAACAAAAGCACTAATAGTAGCAGTTGATAATGTACAAATTGAAGTCTACAAATGTATAAGAGACAAATAATAAGATTCGAACTAAGTGGATAACATCAAACCCTAACCTAAAACACAATCACTAATAGTCGCACTAAGTCGATAACACAAAATCCTAATCACTAACAGTCGCACTAAGTCGATAACACAACACCCTAACCCTAACAGTAACAACGAAAAACTACAATATCCTAACAATGGCAACTATATGAGGTCGATTCCAACACTTTTACACTATAATAATCCCTAAAATCATAATAATCGAAAAAAGAGAAAATATTTATCATATGATGTAGAGCCCTAACATTTTAGACCTTCAATCTCCAAGAATCTTTACCAAGACACATCAACAACGAGATTATCAACAACAACACGACGAGAAAACTTTTCTATTTCTTCAGATTTTAGGGAAAGTTGAGAAATAAGAAAAGAAAAGGAAAAATGATTTTCTTCAAAGAACAGGGTCGGGTCGGGTTGAATTATATCATAGGGAGTGAGCAACACGCGCGACTACATAGACGAGGGAATGGGTCAAAATGGCCCATTTACAAAGATATTAAATAGTTCTGTGGGTGATAGGACACTTTGAAAGTTAAGGTGTCTTTACGCAAATACGGGACAACTTTGATGGTGTATTTATGTCTTCATGACAAATCATTTTCTTCCACTTTGATAACTACATTGACTACTCATTTTCTTCCAAAGCAGTACAAAACAAAGAATACAAGTTTAAGAATCTGAGAAACATAGGTCAAACATGACCATATGAAAAGGGAGAGAAAAAAATACAAGTTAATGAGGTGATGCTACACGATTAATTAGTAATGAAAGCAGGAACAACCATTAGAAAACAAATAGTAATAACAAGCACTAAAGCTTCTTGATTGACATCTATATTCTTCCACTTGTGGTTATATTTGTGAACTTATTAAGTGATATAGTAATACTTACTAGCTATTTCACATATCAACAAATCTCTGTTTGTTGTTTAAATTCATTATTGCTAGCACTTGGAGGGTCACATGAGTTCTTGCCTTATTTTTCTTATACTTCTTCCCTCATGTCAAAATTCAAAAGCTTCTCCTCTATTCTGTTTGTAAGTGCCACAAATTTTAGAGGGTATAATCAATTAGACAGTAATTTTCAGATTGTCAAAATTCAAACGCTCACAATACTACTTCATCACTCTATTGAGATGATTCTTTCTCAACATTGCTAGCTACAAGGATTTGGACGACAAATATTTAACATAATTCATTATATTCAAAGCTTTCTCAATATTTCTAGCTATTCCTGCTCACTTTCCACATAATGCATAAGGCATTCGAGCAAGTTATTCAACTATTTTCATACCAATAAACGAAATCTAACTACAAAGAAACTATACATGAATTTAAAATTGCCATGATAAAATACTAATTGGTTGAAGATAATCAAATAAAAAAGAGATGAGGAAGAGCCAAGATGCGAACAACAGTCATTATGATCACACAACTTAAACACTAATATATAGAACAAAAAAAACAAGAACACTTTAAAAATAATACAAAAAGGGAGGAGTCAAGAAGAGAAATTTCAGAACTCCCAGTGATCCGTGTTTGTAGAGATGACGAGGAGAATCTAGGTTTTTTTTTCATCCCACCAGTGATGCTAAGAAGGATTTCTTTTTATCGTAGAGAAAGTCATGCTCAATTAAGGGAGGAATTATCAGTCCCATGTACCATCAGAGTGATTTTTTAACAAAAATAATTCCACTGATGCCCTGATTTGAGCTTTAACACAAGCAGAAAATGAGAGACTACTGTTTTCTCTAGCGATCAGGTATCCTATAGTTGCTTTCTCAATATTGCTAACTATTTCTAAAACCCTACCCACTCAAAAGGAAAGGAAAACTTCCGCAGTAGTTCAATGAAATTGAAATTAAAACTCTACCCACTCAAAGGGAAAGGAGAACTTCTACGGTACTTCAATGGAAATGAAATTAAAACCCTACCCAGTCAAAAGGAAAGGAGAACTTCCACAGTACTTCAATGGAATTGAAATTAAAACCGAAGGAGAAAGTTTGCATACCTTTGCCAAATCTAAATCTAAAGATTACAAATAGAGAGAGACGAGGTAATCTCTCTGAGAGAAACGCACGAGTAACCTCCCTTGGTGTAATCTCTCTGAGAGAAACGCACGAGACTACTGTTTCAATCTCCCTTGGTGTAATCATGACTTTTCTTTTCGTCTGAGAAAGAGAGACTATTGTCTCAATAGGCTAAATATTTTTATTTGCATTAGACAAAATAATAAAAATTATGCTAGACAAAAAATAAAATTAACTTTAAATAAAAAATCACTATAAAATGGTGGACTACAGTAGTCTCCATTTGATAATATTTTTGAAATTATTTTAATAAGTTTCCGACTACTGCAATCGATAACCAATAAATTATTTTATTGACTATATTTCGCAAAACTTCATGATTTCAGTAGTAAAAATCATGGTCGAGAAAAAAATAAATAAAATATAAATCTTAATTTGCCGATTACAGTAGTCGAAAAAATATCTAGAATACCGATTGCACACTTGTAGTCGGCAATTGTAGTAGAAAAATAGCTTGTTTCTAGTAGTGTTTGAGCATGCTAAATTAGAGGAGATGTACCTAATGAGTAAACCTATGATTCTTTGTGCATACATGTGAATTTTTTTGTGAGTGCGAGAGTTGTGCTTTGATGCTTACTCCTTAATTTATATTTGATTCCTTGATTTAATGGATTGACTATTTCTTCTTGTGAGGGAAGTTTCATGATAGATATATAATGTTGTTAGCCTTCTTTGAAGGAGTAGGTGAGCACGTTTAATATGATTAGTTAGAGCCTGTCTTTGAAGTTAGGAGGATAAAGGTTTGTTATTTGTTGTAGACCTTGTATACTGATTGAGAAGTGCACTGGACGTTGTGAATTGTTGTAGGGCCTGATTATTCGTATCAATCAAAGTGATGGTATTCTTTGATTTGATTGATTGAGATGAGCTTTAATACTTAATCGAGTACGAGCAAAAGTTTAAGTGTGATGGAACAATGTGAGGCCAAAAAATTACATATTTAACCATTATTTTCCTCAAATTTTAATACGTTTAATTTTCTTTGAAGACTTGATTATTATATTTATTTATATAGGTCATAAGGAGTAAGGTGTATGCCCATATGCCTCCACTCCACCCCTCTGTATAGATTTATTTTATCTTTTATTTCACCCGATATCTGAGTTTTAAAATGAGTGGTTTCCATAAATAAAATAAAAAACTTCATATTATAGCTTGATATTATTGTCGTTGGATTCACATGATTATTATGATTCATGTGCTATTGAAGATGCAAAAATATGTACCAAGTGTCAAGGGGTCTTATTAATGTGAACGGTTGCAAAAGTATACTACTTTTACTCTATATACAAAAATATGTTAAGAAAATTTGTATGATAGTATTAAATTGAGGATCCATCACTCTTGTAACAATCCCAAAACCTCATGAAGAATAGTCAATCAAAATTAAATTCAGGACCCTCTTTAATTATTTCTTCTATATATTCCTTTCTTTATTGTTAACCTTTTATAACTTTTTAATCTAAATAAAGTTTATTAGAAGTTTTCCAAGCTGGAAAATCGTTGGAAGTACTACACAAGACAATGTGATAAAAGAGTGTGCTGCAATGAGAAAAGCACGTGTAGTATGTGTAAAGTAGCAAGTTTCCATGAGTTCTCCTCATGCTTATAGTATATGCATTAAGGCCTTCTCATCAATGTCCTACACATCAAGTTTATCTACATATACACATATAGTGGCGTATGCTGGATTTTTTTTAATGTGAATAGTGTTGATCTATTTTCGTAATTTGGACTTGAAACTAAGACGGTTCTAAGTCTTTACTTAGTGTCCCAAATTGATATTTATTTTTGTATTATTTTTAACCGATGTTAGCTTATTGTATATATACATACAATTTTTTTTTAAAATGTTATTAACACACATATATAAGAAATCTTTTTGTAAAGAGGATTCGGATGACACCTCTAGGTTCCACTTGTAGCAACCAAATTCCCAAAAAGAAGAAAACTACAAATATCTTATGATTCGAAAATCAAGTCAGAGACTATTACACGTCTCGATAAAAGCAAATATGCAAGAAATACTCCAACAAGTGGTAGAAATGAAGAGATGTTTTAAAAATGACATTTGGTTTCCAAGCTATAAATAGAAGAATTCAATCATATCTTGCAACAACTTGACATAGCTTGAACGTTTAGAGGCTCATCTTTGCAAGCTAGGGTAAGTTCAAGAAACTCCTTTTCACTTCCAATATGGTTGTTATCATGAGTGCCAACAATCAGAAGGTATCACTTGGTTGCCCCGATAAGTTTATGGCTACGGAAGCTAAGTTGGGATCCACTATATGTATCAATAAAGAATGTGAAGCTGATGACGATGACGATGATGATGATGATGCATCAAAAATAGCACCAGCAGCATGATGTTGTTCCCATCTCAAAGAGAGATACATATAGATTATAAGAGTCCAATGGTATAAATTTTGAATAATGAATTGGGGTGGAGAAGCTAAGGAAGATATCAGTGC